TTGGTGAGATTTCTTCAATTATCTCTTTAGTTATTGATTAGCTCTAATTTTAGCTAGAGAAGAACTTTGTATATCCATTATTTGATAGTAGAGTTTTTTCTGGTAGTCCGTGATTTTTTCCTTTACACTGGAGAGTTTTTACGTAAATCTTGATATGTTTTATTTTTCCTGCATTGTTAATTATTGATTGTTGTCTGTTGCTGTTGGTTTATTGCAACATATTATTTCTGCATTGTTATGTTTATTGTTTCAGACCTGACACAATTCACTATCATTTTCTTTCAGGAAACCTCGACTAATGGCATAAGTTTCACATTCTTCATCATATGAACGAATTAAACAAGATCAATGATGAACTTTTGGAAGAACTATCCACTCACTTTCATTGTCATAAATATCAAATGCCATTGCCTCTCCTTGACGTCCCATGTGCAAATATATTGTCCCTCGTATAATATGGGGGGACAACTAGATAAAAAGAATATCTCAGTCGTATACAATTCATGAAGTGTTCAACTGTCTTCGCCACGTTTGAGAATGCCAAAGCATGGACCGTTTTGATAAATTCCAATGGCAAACCAACTTTAGGAATTGAGGAAAAACACAGTATTGCCAATGCACCATCCATATCATGAGAATAATGAGGAAGTTCTATTTTTTCCCTTGTAAAGAGATTGAAGAATAGAACAGTGAAATCATCTCTAGTTAGAAAGCAACCAACCATAGTTTGAGAATCATATGCTTGCGCTTGATAATTCCGGAATAAATACTTGATAAATTCCCTTGTACAGAGGGTGGAAGAATCTACAAGTACCATTATCCAGTAACGACAGCAAAAATGCAGAACGAGGATAATTACGTAGGGAATTGGGCGGCGCCGGAGGTCTAATTAGATTGATTGAGTGCCATGACTTGCATATGGCTCAGAAGATGGCCAGAATTAATTTGTTTTAATTTTTTTTTTACTGAAGCTATGTAAGCGTCAAAGGAGGAAAACCAACCTATTCTCCCCTCACATCCATTGCTTGCTATCCGCGGAAAAGATAAAGATTAGCTGACTTTCTATGAGATATCAACGAGCCAATGCTACACAAAATTGATGCCGTAGATGAGCAACACAATTGTTTGCACTTGTTCGTACGGATGGTTGGTATCGAAAGATGTCCATTCAAACGATTGCTGTCTTTTTTACCTTGATTCAAATAGCATAGTTAAGCTCCCATCTGTAGAATCCAAACAAGAATTGTGCTTTTTAACTTCACCACCAAGCGATCATAATAGCCGAGTAGTGTTCTTCGACACTTCAAGTAGCTTCCTTTTAATTTGCAAACCTGGGGATGATGAGTTTGCAAAACAAGAAGCGGGACATGAACTTGATGACTAATGGAAATTTTTTACAGTGCGCCAAGGAAAAGTTTACTGTCTGCTAAACACTAACGCCCTAGCTAGAATTGATTTTGTTGGTTCGTAGATTCAGTTTACATATTTGATGATGGAAAGTCATATTTTTCCATCAGCACCGGAAATTTATCGCTATTCAATATATTTGGTTGAATCTTGCGATGACTTATTACTCGTAAAGAAAAGGTATTATGGTTTTATGGATGAGTTTTTTGGATTTAGCGTTTTTCCGATGGATTTTTCGAGAAAGGAGAGAACAAGAGTGAGAAGCATTGGTGAAGTAGCTATTTTTGGTTCCTACGAGAATCACCGAGGCACTTCTTGTGTTGCAGCAGAATATGGAGTTGAACCAAATGTTATCTGCTTTATTGAGCCTGCTGAGAGATGCAAGCATATGTTCAGCTTAGAGGATGAAAGCATTACAATGACTTTGCCTTGTTCTACTATAAGTCGTTTAGATTCAATGATGGAATGGATAATCATGTAATAATTTTCTTGTTTCTTTTCCTCATGATTTTTCTATTATCAATTATTTAACTCATAGACTTTTTTTTGGCTTAAATAACATTTATTCTTCCATATCTGAATTTCGATGGTTGAATCCGATTGCGGTCACATTTTATGGCATGCCACTTTGACTGATTTAAACTTTACAACATATTCAAGGCGACTTCAAGAGCAAATACTTGCGTAAAGGATCAGTTCTTGAAGGGTTCACTGATGAATCTTTCATCTGATCTGCCTCATGGATGGGGACACAGCTAGTTTTTCAATAACTCATTAATCCATTTTTTCTTTACTAAAATTATTGACCGATTCCTATAAATTGACCCTTTTATGTTAGACCCATTCGTTTGTTAAAGTCAAAGTAATTGATGCTTGTTCAACAAATAGTATATATCAAGATTTTAATGTGCTGAAGCGTACTATGTCTCCTACCTACTCAAGGTGTGAGCATTAAAAATAAATAAATTTATGATTACTTTTTCCTCTTAACCCAAATGCCCCACCTCACACGGCTATAATCACAGTAGGGAAAGATTCTGTCTGCAATTTATATTGAAATTTTGAAATAAACGAGATGAAATTCAACAAGATGGGAGGCTCGGAAAGGGCTGCTTCTCGTTATATAATCCAATGCCAATGTCACATGTACAAAAAGGAAACAAAGAAAGTTTCAGATCTCAGAATTTTATAAAACTAAATAATTATAAAATTAAAGCTTCAGTTCTTTCACTATCAAGTTGTGATAATTTTAGTCAATTTTGAGTTCATGTCAATGGATAAATATGCCAAGTCAATCCAATTAGATTTCAGTGTTCCTTTGTAAGCAATAGCAATAAGACAGTGATTTGAAGCAAGAATTTGGTGGGGGGTTAAGCTTTCTTGATAACAACAATGACATCATTTTTAAGATTGAACAATACTTCTTTTTGGCCCTCATCTTATCTTATCTCTTTTGCCCCAAAATAGACGTTCCAAAATCCTATCCCTTACACATGCACAGGATTTATTTAGTGAAAACCATACTGCTTTTGAGTTCCAATTTATCCAAACTTATTATCTTATGTCTTTCTATTGTTGCAATTTTCTCAAAAATTTTTTTTGCAATAGGCTCAATATATTTTCCTGATTCACTAGCACCTTGCAGCATTTATTTTCTGATTTAGTTTCCTTAGTTTATTCTTGAACCTCAAATCAAGAACTTATAACTTGTACATATCATGGATGAACAAAATACAAATTTTTAATTTTTAATTTAATTCAATTGATTTATATAATTATTTTTAAAAGTATCATTTAATAAATTTTAAGTTCAAATCCTAATATTTGTTACCTCTTTCCTCGTCCCTACATTGTGACTTCATTTGTAAAATATATACAAGCTTCGATATCATAATTTGTCATAATGTAATTTTTAAAAATAAATTAAAATTGAGATAGATAAATTACTTCGACTAAATTTAGTTAGGTTTCATATACAATTTTCATTCTATGAACTCATCAGCATGAACATGAATCACTAATTACTAAAGCACTAATCAGTTAATCTATTGTTGATGTAAACTCATTTTACATTTTCAACTTTTTGAATAATTTACTTATAAAGTGTTACGTTATTATCCAAAATGAAATAAAATCTCTATCAATGGTTTCCTGTTGAATAAGTATATTTAACAAACAATATTATCATCGTGACAATAAGTCGTTTAGGTCATTCTAGACCAAACCAACCACATTTGAGGTTTTGACTAAGTTGTCAATGACTAACCAATTCTCCAGGCCGGGTCAAGTCTTGGCATTGAGACGGGGTTGACCTGACCCGATCATGCTGTTCCCTGTCCTTTTTCAGTCTTTTTTTTTTTTTTAATTACTTTGGAGAAAAATGAGAAATGTTCATTGTTCAATGATTCCAAGAACCCAATTTTGTTTGACATGATTGGATTATATTTACTTTGATTGTGTGTAATAAATTATATTTACTTTTCTTTTTGAATCCAAGGGGCTGCCAAATTTACTCAATTTCTTTTTTGGAGAAATATAGACGAAATTAAAAAAAAAAAATCATTGCTTAACTGTACTCGAAAGACTTTTGTCCCTCATCAATATTTATTTACGCGAGAGGTTTAGTTGGCCAACCAGGAAAATCATTTTAAGAATATAAAATTTAATTTAATTAATGTATATAATTATTTTTAAAAAATAAAATTAGTCAAATTTAAAATTTAAATATAAACTCTTGCAATTCATTCATCTATTTCAAATTAAAAATTTAAAAAAAAAAAAGCCTATTTTAGTACCATAAAAATAAAATATAATTTTTGTATTTAAGCATACTAAATCAAATGCTGCTTGAATACAAAAATATTCAAATTTAAAGTTCCAAGGTTTATGCTAAAAATGTCCCAAAATTATATATGATTACTTAATTAATTTTTTTGAATTTGATAGAATTGAAATAATTATACTTTTTTATATAAAAAAACAGTTTAAAAAAATGATTATAAATAATAAAATTTAAATATAAATTTATTAAATATTATTTTTTAAAACCAGTTCCGAGATAAACTTTGAAATAATTAGATTTGGATAATAATATCTAAAATAATAAAGAAGCACGGGGCAAATTTAGTCTTCCCAATAGAAGCCGAAACAAAGTTCCAACCATGTTAATTGATAATAACATGAGCACAAAATTAATCAAAAGAATAAAAAAAATTATCATTGCATCGGCAATTTGGACAATTAAGGAATCTTATAAACCAAATAAAATCAACCTCTTTTATTTATTATAATTAATTATACATTAATAAACACAAATTCTATCAGATGCTTAAATTTCGGATTACCCAAAATAGAAGGATTTGGAGGCCAATCCCAAATTTTATTAGTAGTAAATAAAATAAAATTCTAATTTTCCCACGTAGATTTTCCGACGTGGGCTCAGATTTTGCCGATTCTTCACTCGTTAGCCACGTGTCTAAAACAACGAGAAATAAAAAAAAAAAAAAAAAAAAAAAAAAAAAAAACTAGCCTCTTTGTTTAAAATTAAAAAAAAAAAATCAATTATAAAATTAATTTAAGAAAACTGTTTATAAAGAGGATTAATTTCTTACCATTTTTTAAAGCTTTCCTTCCCATAAGTACCCTCCGCATTCCTCACTCTCCCTCCCCTCTTTTTATTTAATTTTTATTTTTTGTGGTTTTTTTCTTAAATTGGGCTGTCCACTGATCGGCGGAACACCACCACCGTTAGATCAGCTGACTACATTTCAGAGACCTGCCTTTTCAGATGACTCGCTCCAATTTACCGATCAATCAACAGTGACAAAGTCCAATAAAACCGATGGAAAACCCCCCTTCTCCTTTTCTAATCTAAAATCCTTCCTCTCTTCAGATCCTTTTTTTTTTTTTAATTTTCTTTCTTAGAGGGCAATTATTCCATGCATGCCGTTCAACTGAGGCCTCAAAATCACCTCCGTCGAATTCCTAATCCCTAGCTCGATTAGTCAGCCTAATCCTTGTTAGGTTTTTATTTTTTTTGGGGTTCACAATGTTGAAGAAAATTATGAAAGGAGGGCATCGGAAGCCTTCCAAATCGGATGCAACGGATGCATCTTTATACGGGTTCGGTCCGCCAGGTTCCCGCAATCCCGCGTCGGGTCCAACCCCCAATGTGGTCGTCAACCACGCATCCAGGGCCGGACCTAACACACCAGGCCCAAATTCCGGCGTCCCTATGGTCCCACCCCCGATGGGCACTGTCGAACCCTTGCCGTTATTCCGAGACGTCCCCGTTTCGGAGAGACAAAATCTATTCATGCGAAAATTACAGATTTGTTGCTTCCAATTCGATTTCTCCAATACCTTAAAGTCGGTACGAGAAAAAGAAATCAAACGGCAAATGTTGCTGGAACTCGTCGATTTTATTCAATCCGGTTCGGGAAAAATCACGGAGATGTGTCAGGAAGAGATGATTAAAATGGTCGGAATCAACATTTTCCGGTGCCTCCCTCCGGCATCTCACGAAAACACGGGACAAGAAGCCACTGATCCTGAAGAAGAGGAACCCTATTTGGAACCCTCGTGGCCGCATTTACAGCTTGTTTACGAGCTTCTTTTGAGATATGTCGTGTCTTCGGATACAGACACTAAGGTTGCGAAGAGATACATTGATCATTCGTTTGTTTTGAAGTTGCTTGATTTGTTTGATTCGGAGGATCCCAGGGAAAGAGAGTATTTGAAAACAATTCTTCATAGGATTTATGGTAAATTCATGGTGCATCGTCCGTTTATTAGGAAGGCGATAAATAATATTTTCTATAGGTTTATATATGAAACGGAGAGGCATAGCGGGATCGGCGAGCTTTTGGAGATTCTAGGAAGTATTATTAATGGTTTCGCCTTGCCTATGAAAGAGGAACATAAGTTGTTCCTTGTGAGAGCGTTGATTCCTTTGCATAAGCCGAAACCCGTTTCTATGTATCACCAGCAGTTGTCTTATTGTATAATTCAGTTTGTTGAGAAGGATTATAAGCTGGCTGATACGGTTATTAGAGGGTTGTTGAAGTATTGGCCTTTGACTAATTGTCAGAAGGAAGTTCTATTCCTTGGAGAACTTGAGGAAGTACTTGAAGCAACGCAGTCTTCTGAGTTCCAACGATGTATGGTACCTCTTTTCAGACAGATCTCACGTTGCCTCAATAGCCCTCATTTTCAGGTAACTTTTAAGGGTTTTCGTTTCTTGAATATGTCATTATGACTTTGCAAATTTCCGATAGTTTAAGTAGTTAATCACCTTTAGGTACCATTGGTATTAAGAATTGTGGGATGCGACGTTAAGTTATTGAATTAACAACCATTATAATAGTAATTGATTTCGATGCCAACTGTTGTCAGTTTATGATATTTCTTTTTTATAACTTTTGATACTTCTATTTAATTTCTTGTGATTCTGAATGTTGAATGGGATACTGATTCATGAAGCATAACCGTTGGCTCTTAGGAAGGCGCTGCAATGTGCTGTATACATTGTGTTTTCTCATTTCTGATATGTTTTTGGAAAGTTGTGCTGAGTGTTGCTTAGTTTTGAACATTATACTTGCATTCTATTGGCTTCTCTCTTTCTGCATTCATTAACAAGGACTGTTGAGTAGCTCAGTGTCCAATTTAGTAAGCAACTAGTTTCAATTTTGTCCCATGGTGTAGTTTATCTATGCTTGTTTGAATGAGATCCTGTTTCATTGTTTGGTGTTGGCAGCGATTTGGTAAAAAAGAAAGACAAAAGTCTATTGCTTTTGCTTTGTGCAATGTCTTGCATCATTGATTTTCTTTTGTCTTCCTCTTTGTCTGTAGATAATGTTTTACTGCCATGCAATCAGTTAATTTTAGAGCATACGAATAGATATATGATGATTCAAACATCAACTTGTGGTTGCTTATGAAGTTTTTCTGTTGTTTCCTTTAACTTGTGTTGATTCATTTTCCTGCATAGATGCTTGTGACGACATAATTTCACCAAAATTGGAATACCATTTCTTCTCAACAAATGTTCATTTTAAGTAGATTTACTGGTTTCCAGATATCATACTACTTTTTTCTTGGTTCCATAGATTGCTTTACAACCCATTCTTGGCTGTAGATTCTACACATTGTAGCCTCATCATGACTTCCTTAATTATAAATCTTCTGTCTGATGATTATACCTTTGTTGATTTATTCTCCTACATCTTTTTATTTCTTTTCATTTTCCTTTAGTTTTTTTAAATTACATTTTGCCTTAAATACTATATGATTGGATAGTGCTTAACCAGTTATTGTTGAGCCAAGTTTCATACTCGATGGCTTACCTTTTGTAAAGGAGGATAGAATGGAGTTTTGAGTTGCTGGGTGTTTATTTTTATTATTAAGCTTTATGCTGTGCTGATCACGATTTAGAATATTTGGATGGAGCGGGTTGATACAGAATTATTGGCTTCTTTAAAACTTTTGATCTTAGTAATAACATAAGAAACTTTTTTCAGAATTCTTCCTAAGACCATTTTGTATTGCAGGTTGCAGAAAGAGCCCTCTTCTTGTGGAATAATGAGCACATTGTGAGCTTAATTGCCCAGAATCGGCAGGTGGTATTACCAATTATCTTTGAGGCATTGGAGAGGAATATCCAAAGTCATTGGAATCAGGCTGTTCATGGGTTGACTGTAAATGTGCAGAAGATGTTCTTGGAAATGGATGCTGAGTTGTTTGAGGAGTGTCAGAGACAGTTTGCAGAGAAAGAGGCCAGAGCCAAAGATGTGGAAGAGCAACGAGAAATGACATGGAAAAAACTGGCAGATGTGGCAGCAGAGAGAGGGGGAGACGATATGGTTACAGTCTAAACTCATTTATCTGAGTTGGTTTATCCTTCATAAGAAATAGTTGGATCCGGGTTGATGGCTTTGCTACTGTTCCCTTCTCCATTCTGGTGGTATTCTTTTTTCTTTTCCCCCTAATTTTCTTCTTTCTTTTCAAAATTTTATTTTTGGTCTCAATCTGGTCCTCCAAGTTACCCGTGAAAGAGCAGTCATTAAATATAATTTAAAATGTATGGAATTTGTTAGTAACATGCTGCGGATTAACAATGATCAGCGAGGAACGACTTGTATTTTTTTTTTGTCACGCTATTTGTTCTTCCAACACAAAAATTATCAGATTTTTTAGTTTGTATTTGATAGCGCTACTTTGAAATTATTCAAATTAAGGCAGCTGGAGATCAACATGCCTTTGGTTTGGTTGGGTTTCTTGTTACTAAAAACTGATCGACAGGGCATTGCCATTGCAAGTGTATAACTGTTAGATATGTGTGTTTGACATCGCAATGTTAGGCTTTGGGAGATAGGTTGGATAGAAATTGAGACATTGTTCTTGACTTGTTATGTGATGAGATTAGCTCAGTTTCTTCTGTTTCTGAAAATAAGTTTCAGAAAGCTGTCAAGCCGACAAGGTATGCAATCGAAACCGATTATGGAACTGAAAATTTCAAATGATTTTTGAACATGTTCCACACTCTGTTATGTCATCTTCTAGATTGTCTTTTTTCTATTTTCCTTCCCCTTTAAATCCATATATACTAATTTCAAATTGTCAATTTTAATTGTAAAATCAAATAAAATTAAGTAGACGTGACTTTTTTTGTTTTCTTCTACTAGAACTAGAAAAGTACTACTGGCATTTGCAATTTTTGTAAAAAAATAATAAAAACTATTTGGAGTAGGTGACAATTCTTGTATCTATTTATTTATTTCATATTAAATATGTATAAATTACAAAAAAAAAAAATAGTGTCATAATTCTTACTAACACACTAAATATGAAATGTATCTTTTTATTTTTATTAAATTTAGGTTAAATTGTATAATAAATTTTTGTACTTTAGTCAAATAATAAAATTAATTCATTTATCTTAATTTGTTTCAAATTGAATTTTTATTTTTCAATAAATTGTCAAATTTAATCAAATTGTTAACAATTTAATTTTTTTTGTTAAAATTAATGATGTGGTATTTTAACCTTTTTGACAAAGCATTTTTGCTTACATGTTCATTAACTTTGTTGACATATCAAGTTTGTGATAAAAATTATGATATGGCAAAAAAAATGGCAAAAAGATTTTGTTATGTCAACATTTTTAATATCAACTTTTTTTAAATTATATCGCTCGTCTCTATATTTTGATTAAAAAGTGAAATTAATTCTTTTATCTTAATATGTATTTAAATTTTGCTATATATTAATTATTATTGAATTTAAGATTGACTTAAACATAGTAAAATAAAACACAAAAAACTTTTCAATACAAATAAGTCGAGTAACAGAGTCAATGCATGGATCAACACACGAGTTGTATTAGACATATCTTCAAAATATTATTTCAATATGTTATAAAAAAAAAAATTATTTTTTAAATTTTCCTCTTTTCTCCTCTCTCTCATTCTTATTTTCCTTTTACTTTTCTCTATAAGTTTTATTTAATGAACTCATATTTCAGTAAGATTTTTAAAAACTATATATTGAAAAATTCAACAACTGTAAAAAAAATTATCTAAAAAATTATCAATAATAGAAATACAATCATCGATACCATCATTTTGTATCAACGTCAAAGCAAAACTGAGCAGAATATCATAAAAATTTAAAACCTAAAACCTTTAAAAAAGAATTTCTTTGCAAAAGATTATTTCTAATTGTTTTTAATGGTTGACTTTGTTTTTATTATATTATCTTGTTGATTGATGTTGAACTCAAAATTTTCTCAAATCAAATCTTTTAAAAAATTTCATATTTTCCTTATTTTTTAAATTTTCATTTTTTATGGTTTTTTTTTTTATTTTGACTTCTTAAATTTTACCAACTAAACAATAAAAATAAATAAAGAAAATAATAATAAAAAATACTTTAAGACCTTTAAATTTGGGTTTAAAATCCAATTTCACAATTAAAATCTAATTGATCTAAAAATAATTTTAAAACTCAATGTCGAAATGAAATTCGAACCCCATTTAATATCTAAAAAATTTTCGAATAAAATGAAATTTTACAATTACTTTTACTGATGATTGTATATTTGGATTTGTTGGTTTGTTGAATATGGGTTTTTTATCTAACTTTTATGTTTTTGTTTTTTTTTATCTATTTTTTACTTTTATCTTTCTAAAATATTGAAAATAGAAATTATCAAAGAATGAAAAATCAAAATCAAAATCAAAATAAATAAATAAATAAAAGAAACATAAAGAAAAAAATATAATTCAATTTATATTGAGCTTATAATTTAATTTAAGATTAACTTAATTTGTCAAATTAAATCCAATTAATAATTCAAATATTCTAAAAAAATTTATCTAAATATGAAAAAAATGTTACAATCAAATTAATAATTTATATTTTTATATATTATTTTAAATCAAATCTTATATGTGGTAATTAATTAATTTATAGGGATCAAATTTGAACATATATTAAAATAAAAAAATTAATTTTATCATTTAACGAAAGCACAGAGATAAGATGTATAATTTAATAAAAATTGATATAAAAAATTGATAATGTATTAAAAAATTTTATCACAACATCATCTTTGATCACGTGAACTATACATGAGCAAAGTTAACAGTCATGTAAACAAAAGTATCATATCATCAATTTTAATGAAAAAAGTTTAAATTATTAACAATTTGATTAAATTTAATAATTAATTAAAATATAGGGATCCAATTTGAATAAATTAAGATAAATATATTAATTCTATCATTTAATTAAAGTATATAAATCTATTGTATAATTTGACCTTAAATTTATATAAAATTTTTATTAAAATTTTAAGATTTGTCGCATTTTTCATATGATATTATCGTATTTATTTAAAATTATCAAAGTATATTTATATATAATTAGAAATATTTCAAAGGAAAAAGGTCAATTATTTTTGTTTCCGAAAGTGAAAAAAAATTAAGAAAACCAAAAAATGCCATTATCATATCCAGAAAATAAAACAGTTCGAAAAGACTCAGCTTGTTGCTGGAAATAAAATTAGGAGAAAACGCTATCCACAGTTTCCACAGCTTCTCTATTTTCCATTCGTTTCACTGCCATATCTTTTCTCTTCAAGATTATAACCCAAAACCACAAAAGCTTGTTTCGTTTTCATCGTTACCAAACAACGTAAAACTATTTGGCCAAAAAAAAAAGGTAAAGCTAGAAGGCAATCATGTCAAAGAAAGGAGGAGCTTCCTTGCAAAAGGATGCTCCATGGAGGGCCTCGGCTGGAAAATCCATTCCTAAAATCCACCACTCCCCTGTTCTTCGTCTGGCACAAACCCCCCATTCCAATTATGCCCTCGCCGTCATGAAGGTCACCCACCCTCACCTAACCTTTTATGTCTTCCTGTTCTTATCCTTATAATCTTTTTTGTATTTCCCTTCTCTTTTTTTTTTTTAAATTAAATTTGGGATTTTTTTTTGCAGCACCCAGATCCTGTAGGAAGTGGGTTAGCGATAGAGGCAATTGTGGAATCGGCGGGACCCGAATGCATTGTTCCAGGCCAGATTACACCTGTTAGATTACTTGGTCTTAAGGTGTTTCATTCATTTGGGAAAATATTTTTTTTTCTGAATTTTCAGTTTAATTACTCTCATTAAAATGATAATTTAATACCCAAAATGATAGTAACTGAAAAATCTAACTATTGGGTTATTTTCTGAATATTTCTCAAGTATCTAATTAATTCTCATGATCATAATTCATAACAAGTAGTAGCTTTCGGTACAACCAAAGGGAATCCTTGCCCTGAATTTTGGATATGAAACACTTGCACAAGTTTAGCTTATTTACTCCATTAGTCATCTTCTAGGAAAGGGTTTATCTAGGATTTATAGAGATTTGTGTCAACATTTGTCTGTTGACACAGACAGTGTTAGACCCGTTGAAGACCCTTCGAGAACATTGGCTGTTGCATTTTTTAGCAAAAGACACTTATGTCATGTTTTTATGTTGTGTTTTCGGCCTTTGTTGCATGATCCTTTACCCTCATTTTAATTAACTTTGGGGCATAAAGTGACTAGCCCACCTCTCTCTCGCTAGATATATATAATTTTCTCTGCAGCCATTTGGTTAAATTTTCATTTTCTAACTTTAAAGTTCATACTTATGGAAGGGCATAAAACTTATGATTCCGATGTTTGGTCTAATCATTAAAAAGGCATAGTAAACTCAAAAGATGTACTTTACTGTTTGATCTTCAATGTGAAACTTAGAAAACTGTTACTGCCCTGTATGTGCCCACAGCATTGTGCCTGTTATAGAAATGTCCTCCTTTTGTTATGTCTTGGTGTAAACCTTACCTGGTGCTGGTATACACGTTTGTTAACTCATTCCTCTTTTCAATATTGACAGGTGTGGCCAATTGACATTAATATGAAATTTTTGGAACCAGTCGGAAAAGAATTGAAGTTGCTTGGAAAGGTAAAAAATTGTAGTTTTAGATGCTCCCCTCTCTCTTGAGCAAGCATAGAGATCCATTTATTGCCTCAATCGCATACGTAATGAGATACTTTTAGTTTTAATGACCTTATTTTCGGAGTAAAGTTGTCATATACATTTGAAATTAGTCAAAATCATTAAGACAAGCTTCATAGTGTTGAGATAGAGAAGTTTGTGATGAAGCAGAAACCTATTATTTTGTGTTTGAAAAACATCTTATGCCAAAATACTATTTCTAGCCAAGAGGCACAACATGTTCATATAGTTCTGTTCTTTAGCATTGAGGTTGATCAGGTGGAAAAGAGATTTCTCTAGTTTGTCATGTTGTGGCATTTTAAGGCAGTCAACCTCTTATATTGAATTTTTACTGGAAAACCAAGTTTTAATTTTCACCAAAGAACTAGAGGAAGTTCATGTGATGAATATGACTTGAAGAAGATTAGCTCAACTTCTGCTTGAAACACAGTGAACACTTCTATTCAGTCTCGGATGATCAGTCCAAAAGGCCCATGGTCTTCAGGAGGATTTTAGAAGGAGGTGACAAGTCCTAAGCTTATGGTTTAGAAGGGTGGGCCTGGCGTCCATAATTTGCTGGAAGAAATGGACAAAAGTTTTGTTTTATGCATAATTTAGATGGTTTTTGCTAGTCTTTCAGATCCTTGCATATTAAGAACATTACATCCTTGTATTGGACTAGAGTTGAATATCAGATTGGCAAACTGAGTTAGCCTCCATGTCTCTTTATTTTTCTTACATTCCTCTCTGATTCTAAAGTTCTCTTTGTACTGTAAATAAGCACCAAGAGAGCTTTAGGAACATGGTCTTGTTCCGTACTTCTGAGGAATTGTTTAGGGAAGTTCTTTATTTGAGCTCTAGCTCTTGTAACTGTTACGAAAGTACTTGTAGATGTAAAGTATGTGAATCTGATAGCAACTTATGATTAATTTGGTTACATACTATTGTTAATGCAGTTAATGGAAGATGCTGTCAACGTCATGGATAAGGCATTCGCAGATCGCTAACGGCTTAGGCTTTTTAAGCTATTGAAAGAAGCAGCAAATAGGGCTTGCAGTGCTGGCTACTCTAGATTATTGTTGCAATGAAGAGTTTCCTCCTTTGTCAATTGAATAAATCTGGTCTTATTGGATCTTTCACTTAGTTTTTACCCTTACAAATGTTTCGCTTGATACTTTATATCTATGATTTGCTGGAAGTTTTATCCGTAGTCAACTAGTTTAGAAGGAAAACAAAGGAGCAATTTTATTCATGTGAAGCTGCGTTAGTCCTTTTCTATTGTGGCTTTTTCTTTTTTTCTTTTTTATTGATTTCTCAAGTAAGCTCTATTGCAGGAGCTACTGAGCTAGGATCCAAACAGCAGCCCTGCTGGTTGGCCACCATCCTAAAGGGGTTCGGTGAGAGGCTGAGAGCCATAGGTGCCAAGCCCTATGGCGTCTCAGATGCCACTGTCAAATCTATAATGTGGTGCATGTATTTGTTGTTCAAGCAATATCCATACGGATATTCTTTGCTTCATTAATAGAACTGCCTCAGCAGTCATCCCCAATAAATGCCTTATAAGATAGGCGGCTAAGATTGGGCCTTAACCTTTAAGAATGGCATTTTCCAGGATTAGGATGGCGTCCTATCTTATTTCTTTGGAGCTGTCCACACCAAGGACAAAAGCAGACAAGTAACGTAAGGTTATGTCCAATGACAAATAGTAAAGAGTAACGCAAATGAGAATTTGAGTGGTCATGTTTCTTAATGCCTGGACAAAGAGTGAGTAGGATAACACTCTTGTCAAAGCGAAGGGGAAGATCTACTTCAAGATTCAGATTTTGATATTCTATTTATCTACCACCTAGACTATCCATATCCTTTATCTTTCTCTGCACCAGATCTAATACGTTAACTTACATAAAATATAGCAGTTCTGAACTTCAGTTTTAGGGCAAAGGACCATAGCTATCTGCCTCTGCTAACACCAAAGCTAAAACTAGTAGTTATTGATGAAGCATAGCACAACATCTGCATATACCGACAGAAATGATGATGCAAAAGGGAATAGAACTTCATCCATTTAAAGAAACAAAATTGGAAAAATCTATGGCATGACCTAATTGAACCCTTATTAGAATGAAATCAGGTAAGCCAGTTGTGGAGTTCCAACAAAACTAGTTTTCTCCGGCTATGGTGACATGTAAGATTTTCTGGTCACCTATTCTTTTTTTTCTTTTTCTACCACACTTTTTGCCACCTCATTACCTCATATAAGAGGACTTGAAACACCCCCCTAGTCATCTGCAACAGAAAATGGCTTATGAAACGGTTGCAGCCATGCAAGGAGAAAGTTTGCGTAAAGGGCCTTGGCATGAAGAGGAAGATGAGAGATTAATAACCTTTGTGAAGCTTTTGGGAAGCCGGAGATGGGATTACGTAGCTAGAGCCTCTGGTATATAATCCACAAGGGAGAACACTTATGATGATTCATTTTCTTGACGAGCTTTCTTTTATTATTGAGAAGTTGTTTACTTTCAGGTCTAAAGAGAAGCGGCAAGAGTTGCAGGTTGAGGTGGTTGAACTATCTGCGTCCCAATATAAAGCATGGCCATATCAGTGCTGAAGAAGAAAAGATCATCCTACAACTTCATGAGCGATGGGGCAACAAGTGAGGTTCTTTCATCTTACGATTTTTTTTTTCAGCTGTGCTATCAATTTTCCTTCTTTAAAGTTTAAACATACTTTTCCACAGATGGTCAATGATTGCGCGAAGGTTGCCAGGAAGAACTGATAATGAGATCAAGAACTACTGTAGAACTCATTTAAGAAAGAAAGCGGTAATTCAAGAACAAGGTGCTGTTCAATTTCTCTTTGCTGCTTGATGTCACTTGTATTAGCCCTGCTTACTTCTAATAGCTTAGTTTTCAGTGGAAACTTTTCAATTTGGAAGAGACAATGGCAAACAACTTTTCTTGTTTCAAGAAGATGGTAGCAGTTCCCAAACTTGCAATGGTGAAAGCTACAAGCCTTGTGTGGATACTTTGGATAATGAAAATGGTTCTTATGAAACTGTTGAGCTGTCAGATTTTGCTCTTACAAGTTCACCGTACCAAACCCGGTTATCAGATTGGATATCAGAGTTTCCAAGCGATCAAAGTGAAATAAAATCTCAAGGAGAGTCTAATAGTACAGATTCATTATACTGTTATCCAACATGGGTTTCTTATGAGGAGAATGATTTGTGGGGATGTTCAGGCTCACTTTGGAATTTGGAATAAGATGTCACAGTTAAAATGTGAATATTAAGAGGCTTTAAGAATGTGAAACAGAATCATTTTGCATCCATTATTGCATTACCCTTAAATGAAGATGATTACAGTCACTCCTGCTTGAGTTCCTAATTGATCATCTTCCTTGAATATGTTTTCTTTTTAAAGAAGATTCCTTGTAATGTACAAAATGATCTTTGTTTATCAATCGACAGAAATTGTCAAATAAATGGAAATGCAAAGAGAACAATCAAGCATTTTACAGCTTTGTTTCTGCCTAACATGTCCTGTTATTTTTATAACGTAGGCCAACTGATAAGATTACATGGTTGTAAATTTGGTTAATTAGGCATTAATTAGAATATACAGTTGATTTATGCAATTAATAGTTAAGAGATGATATCTAATAGGTTCGGGATTCAAATCTAAATATCTGTAATTTCTTCTTTTATCCTTTAGCTAAGATTTCTTTTGTTAAAAAAAAAAGAAGATTACAACTAATTTAGACCATTCTTAAGTATAGAATTGCTGTATATGAAATTGCTGACTGCTTGGAAACATTTTGGCTGAAATAACAGTAAGTAACAGTACAGATTGTATGTTGTGGCGATGTTATTTCAAAAAAAGAAGTCACAAGTTTGTCATTGCTCAACTTAACTATCAAAGAAAAGTGCAAGGAACATTGTCTCTGTCCAAATAATACCGGCAAGTTGAAGCCAGGTTATGGTGGAAAACACTCAAACCATGGCCCATTTTTTTTTTTTTTCATTTTCCTTTTGCTTTCAGGCAGATTTGGGTTAGAGTTGCTGTATCATCACTTAATACACGGTTCCATAGCTAGTAAAGCCAGCAATATTATATGCTAATACATCTTCATGGTCCACAAAGTTGGTCAAGTGTACTAATAAATAAACAAAGATAATCTTACCCATTTCAGCAACTATCTAGCCTGTAAGGTGGGAGCAAAGACAAAGCCCGGTAGATGAACTGAACCATGGCCGTCACATTATTTCAAGGGGAAATTGGATCACACATCCCTAATACTTTCCCTTTAAAAAAATCTAGGACCTTGAATTTTGTATAATGGAACTACGTCATCTTTTGTCTATCTGTGTAGACCCTAGGGTTTTCAGATTTTTATTAGCCAGAAGTTCGGACTCAGAACTTTTCAGTGACAAATGAATGGCCTTGAACTGGGTACAAATTGCAAAATACATCATCTTCTAGCCATAAATGAAAGAGACATTAGTTTCTAATTTGGCACCTTGAGTTAGATCAAGATGATTATTATTTTTTATTATATCAATTTTCGTTTAGTGTATTAATTCGGATTTCAATTGATATACAATATTTCTTTAAATGTAATATTTAATAAATATGAGATTCAAATTTTAGTATTTATAATTTTTTTCCTTATCATGACTCCTTTGTAAAAATGAAAAAAAAAAAAAAAAACGTTTTTTGTCAAATTATAGTTGATCGCATTAATCTCTATCTGTTAGGAATCTTGTATTCCTGCCTTCTCAAGGGATGAAAGTGGTACTTTTTTGCAGAAAGAATAGGACTCTTAGTTGATAAGGATATGCTAAAAAGCCTATTCTAGTTCTTGATATCAAATCAAAAGAGACGAGAATATCCAATGTATTTTTTTCAAGATTAGGAGACTCTTTAACAAATTACATCTCAAGTAAACCAGATATCAACTCCAAAAAGGTCACCAAAGTGCAAAAAAAAGGGGGCTAAAACGAATTGGTCAGTATTAAAAAGTGATTATTGCATTTTTGGTGGAGACAAATTCTATCTTAGCTTGTTTGGATTCTCCAAATAAAATACCTTATCATGCATCAATATTATACCAGAGTTAATGTATGTTATGGACATTCAAGTCATCCTCTTCCCTTAACATGCTTGATAATCTTCACTTTTTATCCTAACAAAAAGCTAAGACCTTTCATTTTTAAAAACTTTTTATATGAAAATGCTGGAGTAGTTTTAAATGGTCTGTTCCAAGTGGAGGCAGTAGGAACAAAAAAAAAAAGGAGCAGCCAGGTGATGGTGGAAATTAATTGCTGAATTCTGATAATCAAAGACCAGCCCCCTTTTTTCCTTGTTATTAACTTGTCCTGTTGTTATAACATGGGTGATAGAGGTATAATGTACAAGAGTAAACAGCTTGATATCGCAATGAAAAGAGAGAAAAGAGCAGGGTTAGAAAAAGGTGGTGACAATGGCATTTTGCTTCCTGACATTTCATCTGAGTAGTCATCGTCATCGTCGTCGCCTGAGCCGGCACCGTTGACTCCGCTGCTCCACTTTCCCAAGCTGTTGTCCCTGCTCATCATCATTCAAATTTAGACTTCTCATGAAGTTATGCAGATTTTGCCTAGTAACTATTGAAACAGGTTAAAGGCTTATACTAAAAAAGTATTTGAACTATTTCTATATTTTATCCTTTTATTTATATTTAAATAAATTCTTACTTCAAATGAAAGATTAATTCCTAAAAATTAAAAATCAAGTACCTATTCAGATACAAATTAAAAATTAAGAATTTATTTGAATGCAAATTAAATTTTAAGGACTTATTTGGCTTCAATAAAAATATTAAAGTTTATTTAAATAAAACAATAAAGTTCAAGGGCTTTTTTGTTATTTTGCCATTTCCTATAGTGCTAAGGCGCCTAGAATCATTTTGGACCAACAATGTTGGGAGTTGGGACCCAAAGAAGCCCAAGCTGATGGCTAGGCCCGAGGAGTGAGAAAGAATGCCCAGACATCAAAATATGAAGCCTGTCAAAAATAAGAGAAGCCCATCGTTTCAGTTAAGTGTGGCCCCATCTGCCCACGCATCAAATCATTAGGCCTGACCCAAAATAAAACGCCCATCTTTGCAGTTACGTGTAGTCCCATCAAAATGTTAAATTCTGATTAATGATAAATAAGTGAAAGCTGAGGGACTAGGGAAATTTACATAAAGAAACAGAGTTTTAGAGGGAAACCGAATAAAGGTCAAAAAAGCGGGAAAGAAAGGGTAGTAAAATTATGCATACCTGCCGCCAACTCCGAGAACACCAGAGTGCATAGTGAGCTGGTCAATCAGGGCAGAAGATTTAGGCTCAACACTGTAGGCTTTCTCATATTTGAACTCCACTCCTTCACCAGATACAACAAAGAAGGCTCCATTTACCATTATATCACCCTCTGATCTCCAATTCCAGTCCTTCCAATCTCCTTCTGCTGTGTCTACTCGCTTTGTTACCTGCACCTCTCCGACATAATCAAGTTACATGTTACATTCTGTTGCCAAAAAAAACTAGTCACCAGTTTATACAATTTTTTATTCACTTGATTAAGGAAACTTTTGATTCCCAGATTTTAACACAGTGCTTGGACTTTCTTGCTGTGAAAAAAAAAAACAGTAATATAAAATTACTATATGACATGGAATTAAGTTTATGATGAAGAAAGAACAAAGAAATTGAAAAGTGCATGCAATGACGAAATGGAATCCTTAACTTAAAGATTTGTTTAATGAACCAATAGGCTGCTAGAACTGTCAATAAAGACCTTATCTTTCGTGGAAAATAAGAAGGAAAAAAGTTCGAACTCCGTGCAAACTTGTAGTAATGGTTTCCAGTTTTAAAGTTTCTCAATTACTTTCACTTTCAGAAGACCCCACCTTGAATAAAGTACTTGATTTGCGGTGATTGGAGCCTTATTTCAAACTTACCAAACTCCTAAAAAACCCAAAAGCAAATAGTAGACTAGTAATGTTTTTACCTCCTTGGCATTATGGTTAGTAGGAGCAGTGTAACGATTCCCTTGGCTGTTAATGGTAGGGTTTCCACTACCACCAATAGCATACATTTCCCATTGAGTGAAATCATTGTTCACAACATGTATATACCCTCGTCTGCATCTAGGCATTCTTTGAACCAGTTTTTCACCGAAGTGGTTAAAGGCAATTGTCACTTGCATCCCGGAGTCAGGCTTATAGTCATCGCTGTGACCCAACAGCATCACCTCATTATGATGGGAGAAAAAATTGTTTGATATTGTGATCCCTGTTGATCCCATCACTGCATCAATCAAGCCATCCTTGCAGTGGGACAGGGAGCAATGATCTATCCAAATGTCCTTGGATCCAAAGATGGAGATCCCATCACCATCTGATTCTGTTCTCCAGCCATAATGGGTGGGGCTGGACCTCACATTAGCCTCACCTGTTTAGGGACAAATTTAGCAAATAAGTGTTAATAATACCATTTAAGAACAATTATTTGCAAATTGTCAATGTAGATCCAGGAGGGTAGGAAAATGGAATTATTGAAACTGAAATAAGGTGAAAACTTGGATTAATCTGAAACTGAAAGAGGATCTTTTATCTGTAATTAATTCTACAACCTACTCTGCCAGTAAATTATTTCTTATCAGAAATTCAGGAAAGTTCTGTCAGTGATAGAAACTTAATAAGGAAAATTTATGAAATCTTACCTGACTGAACACAATGGTGAATGTGTATATTGTGAATGATGACATTGTTGATATACTGTAAAGTAATGCACCCACCGCCTGTAATGTGCACATTGGCCCCACGTCCATCCAATGTCTTGTAGCTATTAAATATAAGCTCTTGCTTGAGCTTAATGAGCATGTTACTTGGGAACACAATCCACAGCGGCTCTGTCTGAATCACAGCATATCTAAGAGTTCCAGGCTTTGGAGTAACAGCATCATCATCAGATGAATCTGTCACAATGTAATATTCACCGCCTTTGCCTCCAAGGGCATACTGGCCAAACCCAATGGCACAATCGGCTAGCCGCTGCCGGTTGTTGGGCCAGTCAGGGTCACATTTCCAGCAGTCATCTATGGGATTGCCAGTTAGGCAAGTTGATTCATCTTTTCGGGAAATTTGTAGGGTTTGCCTTCTTGAAATGGAAGCATTTACTCTCCTGCATTATGTTGGGAGAGTTATTGAGATGTATTGTAAGGGTCATATAAAAGAGTTAAAGACCCTACTGATCACACACCTACCGGACAAGGGTAGAGTAAATGACAGAATGTGGACACTTACAAGATTAAAGTGCAATAGGCTAAAAAGAAAAAAGATACAAAGAAGAAAGATAGTGGAGTAACAAAGTAAAGCAAGTAAAACCCTAGAAAACAGCTTGGATTATAGCTTTAAAGATCGAAACAAAAACAAAATATAGAAGAAAATGCAGGGGAAAAATTAGAGCAGTCCAAGAAAATGACAATGCAGA